CGTGTTCCTCAGCATGAAAAAATAGTGTTCTTTTACTTTCACATTAGATAAAATATCAGATATTTACATAAGACTGCAACAGCTTCAGGAATGAGTTTTTCAGAACTTTGAAATATTAGCACTAGCCTTTTGGATTATTAGAGAAAGAAATCCCCTCAAAGCTATGTGCTTCTGAGCATGAGATCAAAAATCTATGAAAAGAGCACATAGGACCCAAAGGCACTGCAATTTTGTGACCCATGAAGGACAGCGTTCATGACAAATGACTGGCAATTTCAGTAGTATCTTTCATAGTTTGAGTGATTCTCTTGATTTTCCCCTGATTATTTCAACTGAAATATCCTTTCTACATAGAAAATGTTGCTCTACAGCATTTGGGAATGCCAATCCCAATTTACAGCAGCAGATCTGAAAAAAAAGCAAAGCTTTAGAAAGTGTATTTATTTACTAATATTGGTGCCTTTCAAGATCAAGTCACTGAAAGCATAATGTCTGTGTTTTAAAGTTCTTCCAATACTGCTCATCAGCTGCAGTAACATTGGGGCAGGACATTCATAAGTCAGGTGAAAAAAACCCACCAATTATAAAGATTGAGCAGTCAGACAGGGCTTGCTCCGCTTTGTTTTTTTTACAAATGATGATAGATATCTTCAGTATTTTTCAAATCTCACAGAGGTGTAGTTTAGATTTCTAAAGACTATCAATTGGTTTAGCCTTGAGACAAGCAGAGAATACTTCATCCATAGAAATAAATTACTGCCAATAAGTAGTGTTTAGCACAGAAATCAATGAAGCCTATATCAGTCTAAGAAATGATACTAAAGATTTCTGTTATCTCTGACGACACCTATAAAATTCCTCCTTTCCTTCTTACAACATTTCCCCAGAGCATTTAGTCACAATATACAGGATGCAATATTAAACTTAAAAAAACTCCAACATGGGTACAGAAGTTAGTGAGGGAGAATTTACAAGTGTTCAAGTTCTCATCAGGCAGCCTGAAACATATTTGTTCATTTCAGCCAAAAGGTTCAAACATTTTAAAGGCGAGAGGAAGAAAATGATACACTCAAAGACACAGAGAGAACAACTGCATTATTTTAAGGGGAAATAAACCATTCCCATTTTAATGGGTAACAACCAAAAAATACAATAAAGTGAATCTCAGGAGTTCAAAAGCTAGACAAAATATATTTGATCTGTTTGTCACCAAAGCAACACTAGAACTCACCACTCATGGGATGCAGGAAAAAGATTTACAGTATTTAAAGGCATGAAGTACATGAAACTTTGGGGCAGAATGGCCAAAAGGAAAAGTTTATTTTCACTTACTGAAGAGTTTATACGCTGATCAAGGTCAGCCATATGGAGGAAGGCGAGAAATGGAGGAGACCTTTTGTTTTTTCTGCAATGTGATCCTTACGCTCAGATAAACTCTTCTATCATATTATTTTTTATTCTGCTCTGCATTGCAGTATTACTAAAAATTGCACAGTGTAGCTAAATAGAGCATGTTTAGAAAAGAAGTCTGAAGAGTTATGTAAAAACTTTTTACACTTCCCTAATGGCTGGGAAACACTGTAATACTTCCAGACAAATCATGTGGAACACGAAACAAACATGACTGACTTTGTTTCTAAAGTCAGACAGCAGTAACATTTTATCTTATGTCATTTTCTATTCATCTCCATGATGGTAACAATCAAATTCTTCTGCCAGTCCTTGACTGATTTTGTTGAAGCTGTCAGTAGTTCTTACTAATCAGCCTGCTTGTATGCCTGAAATGATAACTTGAAACAGCAGTTCAGCAGAGAACTTTGGAGCCTTGAGACTCAAGGAGTTACCTCCAAACCACCCTTCAACAGAGACTGCATCACTGTTATCCCTAGAGGTAGCTTATTCTCTATCAGAAGCGCTGCAAATCGAGATCTGCTCTTTCATCTGACTGAATTCTCAGCGACAACTGCATTGCTGTGCTACAGTGATTATGGTGATGATGCTGTAAGACACTTACCTCCACAAGCTTCATCATAGGCACAGGATTGAAGAAATGGAGACCACCAAATCGGTCCTGCCTCGTGGTTGAGTTAGCCAACTGCGTGATTTGCAAGGATGAAGTGTTGCTTGCAAATATCGTATGCCTGGAGAAAAAGAAACATATGGATTGCATAAATGACAGCTATTTATCTAACAGTAGGAGACTGGCACACTAAACATAAATAGATGACACAAAAAAACATAAATTGACAACACAGAACTGGGAGGAGTGGTTGATGTATCAGAAGGCTGTGCTGCCATTCAGAGAGAC